CCCTGCATCGTTAGGCCGACTCTCAACCACTGCGCCACCAGGGAAGCCCTCTCTTTCTGTTTTTCATTAGGGATGCTGCCTCCCATTTAACAATTCATAACTCTTTCATATTATACATACATACTGCAGTTCTTGCAGTTCTACATTTCCTTAAACCTTTATCTTAATGAGCTACCACAGGATCCTGATGGACTCCAATCTCTTCGCTGAATCTGTTTTCTCCATTCCATTATTTGCTATTCAGTATTAGCCATATTAACTCCTGACAATCTGAATTAAATCCACAGCTTCAGTTAAGTAAAATTTATCTGTTTTTTTACTTTGACGCACCTCCAACCACTCACTGGTATCCATATTAATGACCCTTGGTGGAACTTTGCATTCTTCCAAGCTAAGCACGTAATCTGAATTTTTACTCAAATGCTAATAAAAAAGCAGGATAGGTTGAACATTACTATTTAGCCACCATTTCCCCTACCTTTATCACTAGAATTTGTATCAGCCTAGCCGTAGAATCCATATTCCTCCAAATCTGACCCGTTAATGAGACTTGCCAAGATTCCAGTTTGAGACCTCATTCACCTGCTCATTCATCTTGCAACCAACCTCCCTTTCCTCAAACACACTGAAATTTCAACATTTCCTCTGTGCTGACTTTGAACCTGTTTTCCTATCCTAGTTCATGTTCCCATTTCACACCATCATCGATAGCTGTCATCTTTATTGCTGCCTTTCTTAAATGATAACATCTCTCCAGAATGCAATATAAACATGGCACATCCACTCATTTCCTTTTTCCCCATCTTGTAGCCTTAGAAAAACTGGTTCACAGTCTGGCCTTTAAATGGATTCAGTATGTGAAAATGTGTGAAATTACTCCTTGACCTACTCTTATTATTCAAAACAACCCCATTCTCTGGCATGTGTCTTCATCTTAGGATGTCAGGAGCACTAATGTTACGAGGACTGCTGCTGACGCTCTCCCTTCAGATTTTGTTTTATGAATTTATCTCTATGTGACCATTTATTCTCTTGAATCTACCCACTTCGACATAATTGTCTGATAGATTTTTCAGGCAGCCACCCACCAATTTCCTTGTGGTAATTTCTTTTTATATATTTCTCCCATTTCCCTTTATTCCATTAATTGTGATCAAGTTGAACAGGTCGCACTATGCATCCTAACCATTATAATGTTCCTTAATAATTCCAAGAATGATTTGTATGTATACTGTTGACTTAGTTCCAATTTTATTTTAACCACTTCTTTTCTCTTTTTCCTCTGCTCATTTTCATTGGAAAAACAATGAACGTATAAACACTATATCAGCATCTGTAGGAGGCATATTTTACCAGTGCTAAATACAATTCTTTCAAAATCCAATTGATTGCACTATACACCTTTGCTTTGTACTTGGCTAT